TGAGATCAAAGGTCATGACCTGAAAGTGGCAAAGCCAAAATATGACCTCTGGTAGGATGTCTTTCTGGTTCAGAGAGAGGGAAAATGTGGAAAGATGATGGAACCAGTCATCCTGAATACTCAAAGGTGCTAGAGACCTTTCTGAATGAGGAGAAACTCTTTTTTGTGAAATTTAGATAAGCCTTTTCCCTAAAAGCACAAAGATGATCACTAACTTGTGTCTGCTAAATGGGAGGATGAGTAAGGAGCACTGGTTAAAAACACTCACCAGTACCCAGACTGACTGACTCTTGTTTTGGGCAAAAGGTTGAAAACTAATAGTCTGGCACCTATACAGTTATCTAACAAAGATGGGAATATTTTTCTTGCATAAAGAAGGAAAGTTTCTCTTAGGCCACTGTAAAGAGATCAAATCAATTTCTACCAAGAATGTACTCATGTATTTGTAAAATCCAACATTTGGATCATTTCTTCATTATGGTGTTTTAGATTTCCTGCATAGGGCAGTTACACATGGTTTATGAGAAGATTGTCCTCTTTTTTTTCTTTTAAAGATTTTATTTAATCATGAGAGACACACACACAGAGAAAGAGAGAGAGAGAGAGAGAGAGGCAGAGACATAGGCAGAGGGAGAAGCAGGCTCACTGCAGGGAGCCTGATGTGGGACTTGATCCCAGCACCCTGGGATCATTCCCTGAGCTAAAGGCAGACGCTCAACTGCTGAGCCACCTAGGCATCCTAAGATTGTCTTCTTTGGAAGCATAGTAGCCTGGACTAAAATAAATAGGATCCAAAGAGAGAGGCCAATGGGTAGCAGAGAAGAATGATTGTCAGATTCTCTAGAGTATATAGAATAAATAAAATCTAAAAAAAAAATAATGCGGGATCCCTGGGTGGCGCAGCGGTTTGGTGCCTGCCTTTGGCCCAGGGCGCGATCCTGGAGACCTGGGATCGAATCCCACATCGGGCTTCCGGTGCATGGAGCCTGCTTCTCCCTCTGCCTGTGTCTCTGCCTCTCTCTCTCTCTCTCTCTGTGACTATCATAAATAAATAAAAATTAAAAAAAAATAAATAAAAAAAATAATGAAAGCAGAAAGATTAGTTCAAAAGAAAATAAAAGAATTGAAGCATCTTTAAAGAATGACCTCATTCATTACTTTACTAATTGTTTTTCTCTCTTTTGATCATTGCTCTAAGTTCTGTCTTGAGCCTCTTCACCTTTTTTAAACCTACAACAGAAACCATTGTGATGATTTGGAATTGAAGTTGCAAGAGAATTTCGTGTTTTGTAGCTTACGTATTAGGAAGGGTCAGAGAAATATTTTGATGAATTGAAAGAAAAAGAATCTTACAGCCTCAAAGTGAATGTTCTCAGGGATAAGCATCTATTGGGTTGGACTGGAAAAGATTTTGTTAGTTTCCCCGTTTGTGAAAATTGCCAACACAAGGCACAAAAAGGAATAGTTGCTACATCAACTGTTCAGATAGTCCAACCACGAGGAAATGAAATAAAAGGTTCTGAAATTTATATATGGATATGACAGTTTCTCTCATTTAAATACAAAGTATTAGGCAATGGATTAATAGGTGAGTTGAACAAAAATAAGGAGACAGAAATATTTCTAACTTTTATTAAAATAAGCTAAAGAACATATTTAGATTAAGTTATATATACAAATAAGGTCACCAAAGTATTTAAGCCCATATTTAGGTATTCTAAATATCTTAAGCTAAGTTTTTAAGATATTATGTATATTTAACACAATAACTAAAACTGCTTTGTAGTAAATTGTTTCTGTACTATAAGTTGTCATTATGCTAATGATCATGTGCTAATTAATATTACAGCTACAATTTCATGTGATTTGAAATAGACCTACTTCTATACTAATATATTCTATACTAATATATTCTAAAACCATAAGCAGACACAACATTTTCAATGTGACCGTATTGAGAGATATGGTCAGTGACTAGTGTACACAACGGAAAAGAAAAATTTTAACTTTATAAATACAAGTTGTTTATATTCCTTTTAAGTAGGATAACCAATTCTTAGCTTGAGTAGATTATAGGTTAAATATAAAGTAGACTGAACCTGAGTCTCTGCTGCTCAAATATAAAACAGGTATAATTCAATATTTATAGAATTCCCTTAAGTTACCATTTACTGAACGCATTAAAAGTTTTGCTGAAGTTAGAAATGTCCTCAGTGTTCTTTGCCTTAATGGATATCTTAAATTAGTATTTCAAAAAAATAATTAGTATTTCATAGCATATGTGTCATTTCCAAGCTAATTAGAGTTAGATTAAAAATCAAAGAATGATTATATATCACTCTGCATTTTAAAAGCATACCTGTTTTATTTACATTAATTAAAATTTGGTGATAATTAGCTTTAAAAAATCCACTTTAGTTTATAAAATTGAACCTCCATTAGATAGTTGTCTGCAAACTACTATTGACTTGATAGAAAGAACTAGGAGGGAGTGGTTGTGTGTGTGTGTTGATATGAGTGTGAAAGCAAGCAAGCAAGCGAGGGATCAGAGACAGGGAAGGAGAGAAAGATCTCCTACCTCCTGGCTAGATCATAAAATCCAAAATTTATCTTAATGTTGTTAATGAGAAACAATCTCTAGAAAGTCTCTTCTAGTGGGAGAAAGGTCCAGGACAGAAACACCATGTGGAATTCTCCGTCGCACATAGGTCCACAGCTGAACAGGAGCCCTAGAAATCCCCTAGCTTATCTCTTCCCTCATTTTACAAATGAGATAATGAAGGCACAGCAAAGTTACTCGTTGTGACCAGGCTACATGGAGAATTGCAAGCCAGTAGAGAACCTAGTGTCCTAACACCCAGACCAAGTGATAATTCTATTATTCTTTAACCTATCACTTGTAAAGACTTTGTCTTCTACTAAAACAGGAATGACGTTGTTGAGTTCATGATTTTAATAGAAAACAAATGCCATACCTCCACACCCAGAACATTACTTTATCATATAAGTGGCGTTTTATCTTCATGCCTTAATTGTATGCATCACAAATCTGTATATTTGTATGTAATGCGTACATATGCATTATAAATCTGAATCTGTGATTCAGCTAATGCCTTACACTGACTCCCTAATTTTTTCAAGATTTTAAGGTTTATGGAATTTTAGGCTCACTCTTCTTCCAGTAGCTTTAATTAATACAACATTTTGGGGGGGGTGTTGTTTTATTTTTTCTTTTGAGAATTCTGTGCCATTCAGGTTGTTCCAAAATCAGGATTGGAAATCATTGGTAGTGACAAATGACTGAGAAAGTGCCATCTTTTTGAAAAACTGTAATTCTGGGGCAAATAAGCTAAAGAAGCATAACAATTCTTCAGAGTTGATAATTTTTTTCAGAATAACATTAATTTTCTTAGGTCTTATAGTTTGGGAGATCTGCAGGAGCAATGAAAGCAATGATATGGCCAGTCTATTCTCTTCTTGCCTTTTTCTTTCCTGCTCGAGAGCTTCATTTATACCCCTTACTCAATTATGTCCCTAATCCAAAGCATGCAAAGAGCCCCTTGACAACAACTTTTTAATGATTCAGTATAGTTAAAATAATCTTCAAAAAGTGACCCCCTAAAAGGGCTTTGTGTCTGGGGGCAAGCTGGAACAAGTGCATTCAAATATCACCAGGACTGAAATGCAGCCCAGAGGCAGAGTCCAAGCGAGTAGCCTTCCAGGGCTGATAAAGGTGTAATGAATCGTCTTTTTCTATGGTATATTTCCTTCTTCCCTGAAGAAGCAGGAGCACAAAGAACTAAAGACTGCATTTTTAGTGTTCTGTAAAGTGCTCTGCAAACAAAACAAAACACACAAAATGAACTGCTTGGCTGTTTGGAGTTTCTCAGGTCCAATGTGGAAAGTCTGAGGAAACCAGGGTGCAAAGAGATCATGCTGGGGTGGAGAGAGGGAGAGCATTCAGGCAGTGTCACTCACCACGACGGCACAGTATTTGGACAGCACCAAGGTAAGAGCTCTACACATAAATTAAAAAGCCTGAAAGCTGGCACGGGTGAGACAGGTGCAGGTAAGCCAGAAACTTTACGAGGATGTAAAGGAAATGCATGGTTACAGAATCACCTGTGGGCTTTTGTGATGAGCTTGGTAGGTTTTACAAAAGTCATTACTTAATTTGGGCACTAGATGCTGAAGTGCAACTGTCTTCCATGTGGCTGAGAAATGCAAGGGAGTATGTGTAGTACCTAAGTGAGAAACGGGCACTTAGAAAAGAATTGCAGGTTGAGGTCTGTATGCCTGTGTGATTCAGAGGTGGCAGTGCTACAGGGCCCGGGTCACCAGGGGAAAGTGCCCGTGTGCAAATGTGACTCAGAAGATTGTTTTTTGGGAGACACCTGGGTGGCTCAGTGGTTTGGCACCTGCCTTCGGCTCAGGGCATGATCCTGAAGACCCGTGGATCGAGTCCTGCATCAGGCTCCCTGCACGGAGCCTGCTTCTGCCTCTGCCTGTGTCTCTGCCTCTCTCTCTGTCTGTGTCTCTCATGAATAAATAAAATCTTTTTTTTTTTTAAAGGAGGTTGTTTTTCTTCATAGTAAAAGGATGGCAAAGAGCATTTTCCTAAGCATTAGATGCTTTCTCCTCTCTCCTCCCCAGTGATCTCTAAATGATGGATTTGTCTATGGAAAAAAAATCGAGAAAGTAAAATGCCAGTTTGCATTAATTCTTACATGTAAGCAAAAATAAGAAAAGGCAGTCACCTATCAACCCTTGCCAAAAAGTCCATCATCGTTTGAAGCATGATTATAAGCAAAATGGGAACTAGGGTTGTGTGCTGTATTTTGAATTTCTGAGTGTGTGTGTGTGTGTGTGTGTGTGTGATACAATCTAGATATTTAGGAAAGCTGGTGCAGTATGAGTAGCTTGGCAGTAAGAAGGCTTACATGATAGAAACACTATGAAGGTTAAAAAGAACTCTCAGCAAAGTTGCCTTTTATCTTTTATTTCTCATTTTCCTTGTTCCTGTAGTATTATTTAATTAAAAATGCAAGAAACATACAAATCTGAAGAGGCACAGTCTTGATGATAAAATGACAATAAGCAGACCATAGGAGCTTATATTCACACTAAGCTCTTAAATGACTAAATAAACCCTCTTAGAATGTTCTTCCAGTGAGCAAGAAAATATTATTTAGATGCCACAATTCCTAAGTGATGCTCCCATATAACTGAAGAAGATTCTCTAGAAGTCTACATAGCCATGTTTATAAGCGCAATAAACTTTTAGAGGTGAACATAAGACATTAGTGTGTTTTCCTAAAACAATTTATGCTTGGTATATAGGTGCTAGACACACGGCATCTTTGGACTTATGGGTATCTGCAAAATCTGACAATGTTAAGGTACGCATGCCAGACCCAGGAGCAGAAAAGAGTTAGTGAAACAATCTTAATATTTATTGAGACATCACTTTTTTGTGCCTTTATGCCAGACAGTGATAGAGAACCCCATGCTATTATTTTACATGAAGTTTCTTGTTAGCAAACTAAAAGCCCTTTAAATAACTTCATTCTTACATGTCTAGGATAAAAGGCACCTACCATGTTTCAAAACTAATAAACATATATTTATATATTTGTACATATGTGTGCACGTATGTGGGTATATCTGTCAAGTTTACTTGGGAAATATCCCAATGTAAACGGGGCCTACCTACTGTGATGTTTGCTTGCTTCCTTTTTTTGGTAGAAGACACAGAGCAGTTAACTGAAAGATAATCTTTCTGCTGTTAGAAGCATTTACAAACCTGATGTGATCGTGATATACCAGTTTAGGGCTGCAAAAGCTCACAGAAGCTGTGGATTCAAATGTTTGGAAGAGTATTGGCAGTGAACTATTTAGGACACACACCCAACAGGATACATCCAGGTACTGAAACGATTGAGCCAGGAAAAAGAATAAGAAACTATGATGTTCTAAAGGAAAGCATTAGAATCAGCAGTCAGTTATCGCAGGGGATTATGTCATGAAGATGGTAATTCCTTGTAGTGTAGCCACCTTATTTGCTGTGTTGAGTGTATGGAATTTTCTCTGGCTAGCATTAAAATTAGAATCATCAACGTCTCATGAGACAGAGAAAGTAGAGTCTGCCGTGAAATCGAGGGATAAACCTACATGACATTTCAAAGTTCCCTTCCTCCACCAATATAAAATCCAGCATTACTCAACAGAGTTACAATAAGAGTGAATTAAAATGCAGAAACATAATGTCATTCCTTAGACAAACAACAGCTAGGCAAGATATTTGATAATGTTCTAAGACATTATGTAGTCAGGTAAGCTGAAATGACATATGTAAATCTTTTTTTAAAAATCAACATACAAGCTCACAAATTCTCAATATAAATTGCCTCAGGAGGGGCTGCTCTGATGAAATTGAAAATGTCTCCTCCATATGTGCAGTTTCAGACTCTATAACATTTAAAGAAAATGTTCTAAAAGATAAAGTTGGCATATAAAAAGCACGGGCAGAGGAATCAGTAATGATCAGAGCAAAACAATTCTAGAAGGCATCTTAATTTTCATATGGCTCATTTGCATCTGAAACATTGAGAATTCCTATCTCTCTTGTACAAAAATGTGTACATATTAAATTACTTTCCACTTGAAAGAACATTTTCCTAAATGTTTGGAAGATGATCAAATTTTAACTGGAGGACTTGTTTTCTTCCATCAGGTGTGGGGGAGATGTGGCTTCCTGGTATGAGAGGCAACAGTTGATTCTAATAGCAGAACAAGACAAAAATAAGAAAGTAAATGGAAAATAATTCCTATTTGTACAGTTTGATTTAAAGATGATAAAACAAAAAGGATACACATGATACAAAGATGTCAAAAGACATCAATTTAAAAATCAAATAGGGTTACCCTTCCAAAAATTGTGATACTCTGATACTTGAAAATTAGGTTCTATTACTTATTCTATTACTACACTTATTATTTATTCTAGGATCCTCAAGGGTGTAGCTCATTTATTTCAGTACATTCATTTCTGAGTATCTCAGCGTTTAAAAGCTAGATGCCCACCAGCTGTTAGGCAATAATTCCAAGAGTCTACGTTCTACCTGTCTTAAATTTTTAATTTCAGCATATTAATTTTAGGATATTGGCAAAACAGTAAAGATTTAAAACCTCTTTCCTATCAGTTGTTTAAACAATATTTAGTCTTAAGGAAATTGCTGGTCACTTACTCAGAGATCTAGGAGTTGGGATCTAGGTAGAAATTTGAACTCACAAAGCAAAACCACATTGAATGAAAAAAGTCTTTTTGAATTTGTAGTTTATTTTCTGATTCGGTAAAATGTTTAGGGAAGAGGCACATGTTCAGAAAGAAAACCAGAACCTGAACGACATCCCTGTCTTTCTCTTGGCCTTTCTCTCCAGAGACTTCGGCTGGTGGTGGAAGGTGTTAGGCCTGGTCTCAATGATGGGTGCTCTAGTAAGGCTTTCTTGTAAAGTGGGCTGGGATGCAGGTGACTAAGAATGGAGAACATGACATGAGTTCTGTAAATGAGATTATCTAGGTACATGCTGCTCTCTGTGCCTCTTTTCCTTCTGGAGAAATAAAGTCCCTGATCTGTATCAGCTGGGCTAGAGGGTATTAAGGAATGGGGAACACACAGCCTCTGACAGGAGACTAGAAGGGGTAGCAGCATCCGCACCACCTTAAGGTGAGTGTGGGAAACTTGAATCAGGAACCAAGGGGATCCTTGGATGAACCAAGGTTCATCCTCCCAGGCCAAAGGTAGGGAATCTGGTGAGATGTTTTTAAGGGTTTTTATGTTTTTAGTGTTTTTATGCACAACTCACCCTGTATTTCAAACTGCTGCCTCAGACTTATTTGACCAAATGCTAATCTTTCAGTTTAGTAAAGTGTATTGGGCTTGACTTGCAAACACATAACTCAAACAGTAAAAGATAAAATGGTCTATGCAGCAAAATTTTGAAAATCATCTTAATATGTCATCTTGTTGATTGGTTAGATCTTTCTCAACAAACTTTGATTTTAATGATCAAAAATTTGTTTTTTTAAAATTTTAATTTATTTATGATAATCACACAGAGAGAGAGAGGGAGAGGGAGAGAGAGGCAGAGACACAGGCAGAGGGAGAAGCAGGCTCCATGCACTGGGAGCCCGACGTGGGATTCGATCCCGGGTCTCCAGGATCGGGCCCTGGGCCAAAGGCAGGCGCTAAACCTCTGCGCCACCCAGGGATCCCAATAATCAAAAATTTGAAAAGAAAAAAACCCCTGCTTTCTTCCTATATGGTAGACATGCTAATGAGAAGATAAGTGACCAATAAGTAGATCAAAGGTTGAAGCTTAAGCAAACATAGAATGGGATGATTGTCAGTCTGATAAATTGAAAATTACATCTTCACTTATTAATAAGCAATATTCGTTTATTTATTTATTTGGATAGTATTTACCAAGTACCTTCTATGGGGCAGACACTGTTTTAGGTGCTGGGGATATAAGATAGAAAATAAACCTCAAACCAAAACACACCCACTTCCATGGGGTTTATGTTTCAACTTCAAAGTTTTTCTGAAACCAAGTAAAGCACCTAAAAAAACGCAGAATTGGTATTTGTCATATTCATCATATTATTCTATGATATTGGCATTTTTTTAGGATAGAATTTGGTTCCCAAGTGTTTGAGTTTCATCTCTTAGTATCTGCCAGAGCTTGTCGTCGGTTTTGAGGAAGAGCTTAGGGAAGACAGGCTTGGGTGCCTGCCATCGGTAAAAAGATGGCAGGTCAAGTTTCTTTTAATGGTGTGTCTGGAGGCAACAGGAGGGTCCCGGGATTCCTCTGTAATGTTCAAACTCAGTCTTGCTGTCATTAGGGATTTTTTTGTATGAAGTTGTTGTATTTCAGGTACATGATCTGGCAGGTGAACTATCCAATCAGCATAGCAAAAAGTTGAGCAATACTCTGACTCAAGTATGTTTGCAATAAGATTTTGCAACAAATTTGAATATTTCCATAGTTTTATGGTTTTATTACATCAATCACCAAAAATTTATTAAAATAAACAAATATAACTAAACCAGTACAAAGAAAGGTCTTGGTGTCCACCTACTCTCACTTTGAAAGGTAGAAAAAAGAAAATAAAAGAATAATTTTTATAGCACTTTAACTTTGAACTGAGGTACCTGCTGACGTCTTCTGTTTCTTCCTTCAGTATGTGCTTTTCTTTTAATATGGTCCTCGTGAAAAGAATCAAAGTAGGGACTCTCCAGGAGTTGGGCACAGGTTAATCTGTCATCAGGATTCATCTTCAGACACTCCTTTGGAAGAAAATAAAGTATTAAAAGAGGAGCCTTTTTTGTTACTGTGCCCCAAAATTGAATAACTTGTTAGGGCAGATAAGAGTTTAGAAAATCTTCAGGTTTGCAAATGATCAAGTACTTGAAACTTGTTAATATATGGAATTGCTTTTCCTTTTGCCATTTCAAAGTCTTGAGGGTAGAATTGACCATTCAGTGTCTCTGGAAGGGAGCTACAAGTAGGTCAGGTGTTTCTACCAATGACATCTCTTCATTACTTGTCAAAGTAAATAGTTTGTGGGACACTTCAAGTGTGATCCTGTGTGTGATCCCGGCTGCACCAGCATTACGTGGGAACTTCTTATAAATGCAGTTCTTGGGACGCCTGGGTGGCTCAGCGGTTAAGCATCTGGCTTCTGGCTCAGGGCATGATCTTGGAGACAGGGATCGAGTCCCACATCGGGCTTCCTGCATGGAGCCTGCTTCTCCCTCTGCCTGTGTCTCTGCCTCTCTCGGTCTCTTTGGGTGTCACTCATAATAAATAAATAAAATCTTTAAAAAAAAATAAATAATGAATGAATGAATGAATGCAGTTCTTGCTCAGGCCAAAGCACTGGGGGTGGGGCCCAGATCTGCATTTGACAAACCCTCTGGGTGATTCTGATACTGCTCAAGTTTGATAACTACTAGTTTAGAGAGATGGGTGAAGTATGAGTCTTCATAATGAAACAAGTCTAAAACCTGGATAATTGGCATATATATTTATATAAGAAAAGCTAGAGGCAAAAAGGAAAAGATAGCATCATGACCTTTATATTAGAGGCTACTGGAAGCCTCTAGCTTTGCCTTCAGGAGAGGGGAAGACTCTGGCAGCAGTGGGGTCAGTGGAGTCCTGTCACAAAGATTTTCTTCAAGAAGCCCTGGTACTCTTTGGCCAGGGAATGGGGCTTCTCCCATGAAGAAACACAGATTATGATTCTTAAGGAATTAGAGCAGCCTTTGAACACCCAGACACCGGAGACCTGCTGCCACCCCTACAGTCTCACGGCCCTTCAGAGCCGTGTCTGATTGGACCCGGTTTTAAGAAATAACTCTGCTCAGTCAGCATAATTAGATTCACCTGTCCTTCCACAGCCACTACCTGCTCCAAGCAGATCCCCCACCCCCACCCCAAGTTAATGATTTGTGTCATAATTAAGTCTAACTGCTACTGGGGGTCTGTCTCCTCAAATTCTAACACTGTCAGGACTATAACCAGCACAGAAAGACTGATATTCAAAGATTCTGAATATAAACTGTAATAGTCTATTTCTTCATCACATTGCTCTGGCTTTTGCCTCCATCATTCCACGTAAGTGATTCCTGCCATTCATACCTATGACTTCCAGATTTATAAATCCAATAGGGAGATCATGTTCTCATCTCCACAGTATTAGACACTATTGACTACAACCTCCTTTCTGAAACTCCCTTTGGCTTCCTGATGCCTCCCTTTCCTTTTTACCTCGTGACCACTCCTCAAACCAACCTTTGTTAACTTACCTCCTTCTCCACTGTGGGTGGATAGAACTCTTCCAGGCACATTCCTAGGCTCTTTCTGTCTCTCTGTTTCTAGCTAATCACACTGATGCTTAATGGCTTCAATTATTAAGGTTTATCAGAGACTTCCACATGTATATTTCTGGTCCAGACCTCTCCTTTGAGCTCCAGACCCACATATGCAGTAGTCTACTTAACACTTCTGATTTGTCTCAAGGGCACTGTTATAGATTGACTTGTGTCTCACCACCCCCAACTATGGTGAAGTCCTAACTCCCTGTATCTCATCATGCAATCTTATTTGGAATTAGGGTCTTTACAAATGTAAAGGGTTAAGATGAGATCATAAAGCTCTGCCATAGATTGGCTACTGCATGCCACCACTAACTTTGTGGTGGTCTATTCCCATGGGACAACTACCTGTTACAGTAGCTAGTATTTATTTGTTGTTAAAGATATCTCAATTGCAATTAGTGAAAGAAAGCCTTCCTTCAATTAGCCTGGGGCAGGAGTCTAGCAGACAGGGTGTGGCCCATGGAACAGCACAATCTTTGATGAACTTAGAGAATCCTTAGGTCTCAGGTCAGATGTTACAGATATAAATCAAATAGCTGAGTGAAAAAAACTAGCTTCATCCAGAAGTGGGCAGGCAAACAGGGCACTTCACCTTTGGAGCTGAAGACAGGGAGTTTGTCCTATATCTTGGAGTATTTTTTTAAAAGGTTTTATTTACTTATTCATGAGAGACACACAGAAAGAGGCGGAGACTTCCGCAGAGGGAGAAGCAGTGGGGAGCCTAATGTGGGACTCAATCCTAGGACCCCGGGATCACACCCTGAGCCAGAGGCAAATGCTCAATCACTGAGCCACCCACGTGTCCCCCTTGGAGTTTTTCTGCCTTGGAGTTGCCTTCTAGGAAGTTTTTTTCCTCTGGTTAGAGGAGTAACTAGCAGAAGGCTGGACCTACACCTGAGAATGGGTTGGGTTTATAGTGCTGGACAGATACCTCCCCACAGGAGGTCTTGCTAAATAGCAGGTGGGTCATAACAATCTGTCCAGAACAAGGTTAGGAAGTTGGACTTCTAGGACAGGGCCTGCAGAGTGCTGGGTTAAGGCAAGTCAGATCAGGAAGAGAGAGAGAAGGCAGCTGAGAGCCAGTGAAGCATTGGTAAGGGCAGTCTGAGGGCACAGAGATGCCAGGCTTTCAGGAGGACTCAAACCAAAGGAATCCAGCACCCTGGATAGCACCTTGGCAGTGACAACCACTAGAACAATGGCTAGTCTATCCAATTGACTCTAGGTCATCCAGGTGGCTCTGCCATCTAGATCAGATGATTTCTGAGCTAGGCTGTGTATCATAATCACCTAGGGGGATGTTTAAAGATGCAAATTCCAAGGTCCTATACAGAGAGATTATGCTTCTGTAACTCTGAGGTTAGATACTGGAAAGTATATTTTTAAAAAGCTCGTTCTGATGAGTAGTCATTCTGATGAATAGTATGGAAACCACTGCTATAGATAGAACTTAATTGGTTGCTAAAGATAGATACCTTTACTGATATCTCCATCCAAATCCCACTAAGAACTTTCAGTATCCATGGTGGATATAAGAGTCACATCTTCTTGCATGGGTCAGTTGGTCAAGCATGAACGGCAGCCTAATCATAGGTGAATTTCTTCTGTTTTATATTAGAATTTTAAAAAAAATATTTTATTTATTTATTCACGAGAGACACAGAGATATAGGCAGAGGGAGAAACAGGTTCCCTGCAGGGAGCCTGACAAGGGACTGGACCCAAGAATCCTGGGATCATGACTCAAGCTGAAGGCAGACACTCAACCACTGAGCCACCCAGGTGCCCCTGCTTTATATTAGAATTTGTCCTTTGTTTGACTATTTCTTTTGGGCCTAGTAAAAGAACTCTATCTGGTGTCTTCATGTCTCTGAGTTTGCCTGGTCTATTAATTTTTTAAAAAATGATTTTAAATTTCATTTAACCCAATGTATCTAAAACATTATATTGTCAATCCCTCCCAGAGTTACCAGCTTCAATTATTACAATTTGTAGTCAATAATGGTTATAATTGATTCTTAAGTACCTTCATGAAATTCAAAGACATGGGATGAGCATCTGAGAACTTTTCTTCAAGAGTTTCCTAGAAAACAAAATAAAGAATTTCAATGTTACATTACAACAAAGTTATGTTTATTTTGAATATATTAGAAGTGCACTCTGGAGAAAGACCTCCCCTAGAAGACTAGATAATTCCTTTTAAGGACTTTCTTAAAGTCCATTTTTATATAATTTTACACTATAGTACAAAGGTTAAAAGACAAAAGCTGGAATTATTTTCTTAATTTCACATTGTCTTGCAATGGACGCTTGGTAAATGTGAGCTCCAAATTTCCCTGAAATCCTACAACAGTACTTTAATAGCTGTGCCAGGTCTACTTATAGGGAATGTTTTGAGCATTAATGAAAATGTGTTGAGCTACATGTGCATGAGCACTACAAAAAGCAACAGAATGATAAACACAAAATTCAGAATAGTAGGGAAGGAAGAGAATGGGATTAAGGGAGGAGCACATAGGGAAGGGGAAGCTTCAAAGATAATAGTAATAGTCTCCTTTATGGTTTTTAGGTTTTTTTTAACTTTTTTTTTTTTTTTTTTTAGGTAGGCTCCATACCTAGTGTGGAGCCCAACGCAGGGGCTGAATTCACAACCCTGAGATCAAGACCTGAACCGAGATCAAGAGTCAGACACTCAACCAACTGAGCCACTGAGGTGCACAGGTAATAGTCTCCTTTAACTAGGCAGCAAGTATTGTGAATTTGTATTCCATTCTTTAAACTGTTACGTAAATGTTCTTTTGTAATTCAACTTCTAGCCTTGTTAATTCAATTTTAACCTTTTCTTGTATTTGTTAAAACCTTTAACAAATATAGGGGCACCTGAGTGGTGCAGCAGGTTAAGTGGCTGACTCTTGGTTTTGGCTCAGGTCATGCTCTTAGGGTCCTCAGATCCAGCCCTGGGTGCGGATCCACACTCAGTATGTAAGTCGCTCAGCCTGCAAGTAGGCTAAAGTTTCTCTCTCCCTCTTTCTCTATTCCCTCCCCCACCCCCACTCACTCATTTGTGCCTTCCAGCTTTCAAATGAATAAACCAATCTTTTTAAAAAAAGCTTTAACAAATATAAAAAAGAAATCTAGTATATATATCAAAGTATCATATGAAATACCAAATTTAAAATAAACAGGGTGTCTGGAGATGGTTGGGATCATTTGAACCTCAGATTGTTCACATGGCTATGAACCATAATATGGCTTTGCAGACTTTCCCCATCCCTGCACCACTCTTGTGCCAACACAGTCTAAATGTCGGCAAACATCTCTTCTAACAGTCCTTTCATTCTATAGGCAGAATTTAGACCACATGGAGCTTTAAAAGTCATAGCCCATGCTTAGCTAACACAGACAGGAAATCAATGTCTAGAGAGAGTAAGAGTGTCAAGTAGTCACTGACACATGCCCAAAGAAAGGCAAAGAACACAGCAAGAGTGTAGCCGTGATCAATGTGGTTTAGAGTTTTGGTTTGGATACAATGAGGATCATTTTGTAGAATGACTTTCCACATGAAAATATCTGTTGTGAAGAAATGGTTTTTATGGACTTGAGCTTTGTTTTACAAGCTGAAAAAATAGAGAATGCATGTTATCAAAATAAAGAAGACTACAGTAAGTACCATTTAACAGTAGATAATTATTTTAGGGAAAGGTACTGGGTGTTTTGACTAAAAGGATCAAGGTATTTATGTAAGGTACTAAATATACTTTCATTCCAAATTTAATATTAAGTTAATCTTTGACTAGATAGGGAAAAGAGACTTATAAAGCATTCTCTGGGTTAATTTATATCATTTTAATACAACTTCTTTGATCTGTATGTCAGTGTGCCAGAAGGAAAACAGGAGCCAAAAGTTCAGATTTTTTAAAAATACCCCTTTAAAGAAAGCTGCAACACAAATAATAAAACATCCAAAATTGAGCAGTTTACCATGTCTTCTGGCTCAGGAATACTGATGCCATGGAAAAACTGGTTACTTTTGAAGATAGATTGATGTCTTGGGATTAGTTTTCCTGTAAAATACAAACCATGCAACTCATGATAAATTTAATAAAAATAAAGTGTTTAAATGGTTAACTTCTGAGGTCCAGATATATAAGAATACTAAACCTGATTATTCCTTCCAGATTTGGAAAGAATGAGTCGCTGCAAAAACATGCCTCCTCAGGGAAGGTCAGTTCTCCCATGCAACTCTTTTAGTCACATGTGGCTCGGTCTGCCATGCAGCTCTCACCAAGAGTAGGTATGAAAACCATATTGAGGGCTTTACTCATAACTGTCTCACAGTAGAATAGTAGTTGCTATTTTTAATTTGGAAAATGAGGCTCAGAAGCTTAATAACCTGTTTAAAGTCACATGGTCATTAAGGGACAGATGCAGGACTCACACTCAGGTCTGTCTAATGTCTGCTTAATGTAAATTTACACAGTCTTTTTAGGAAATAAACCAAACAATATATACTTAAGGCATGGCTTGTGGTGATACTCTACCCTATATTTTTTCATGCTGTGAGTTCTCCAGAAGAATGTGTTGGAACCAAACAGGGACCTTCATCAGACCAAACAGCAGTGTGGTTCCATTGCCTAGCAGCCATGCTGCCAGGATAGCCTACGGGAAGGAATTAATAAATACCTATTTTGTGTGTGGATGTATTGCTTTCCTTGAGTCCATGCTGTTTGGTGTAAAGCTATAGCTAACCTTCTGGTTACATCCTCTGCCAACTGCCACGGATGCTGACACATGGTGAAAACTTATGAAAAAGGCCTCTTGAGTCCCATTCCTGCTTTGCATGTAACTGTTGTATGACTTCATGGAAGCTCCCTGAGCCTCAGTTTCCTCATTTGTAACACAGACACAATTAAAAATGTTATGTCCTTAATGGGTTTTTCTTAAGACTGAAGAGACGTGTGTGAAAGTAATATGTAAATTCTAAAATGCTATACAAAGGAACAGAGTTGAGTTGCAACAGAGACTGCAGAGCATACAAAACCTAAAATATTTTTCAGCGAGCGCTTTATAGAAAAGCCTGACCCTTGCTCTAGAGTTAGGGGGAAATCTCTTTTACAGTGGGCAGAAATAACATCTGATCAAATATCTCTTAGAGTCAGCTCTATGCAGATGACTCCTATTTTAGCCTGATACAGAAAGTAAGTATATAGCTTATTCCATGGCTAATTGACTTGACTTGGAAAGGTACCTGAGAGCTCCTCACTGAGAGGAGTTATGGCTCCGCATTGAGAAAATGGTTGGACTTTGGCTACAGCCCAGAACAAGCAACTGAGCAGCACTTTGGAGAAGCAAGAAAGCTCTCGTTCATTACAGTGACGACCTCTTCTATCACTGTAACAATTTAGCAACTCTGTAAGCCATAACATGCAACTCATACCCAGTGTTCTGATGATCAGATAAAGCTGGTCCACATCTGATTTTCCAGGCCAGAGTGGCTGGCCTGTCTGAAGCTCTGCAAAAACGCAGCCAATAGCCCATATGTCTACTGAAGAACCATACTGTGTGTCTCCCACAAGAAGTTCAGGAGCTCGGTACCATCGGGTAGCGACATAGTCTGTGTAGGCGTCTCCTGGAACTGCAAATGCGTCAGTCAGATCAGGTGGGTCACATTCCTTTACCATGTGAATGACTCTGGGAGCTGGTGGGGCATTCAGGCAGGCTTCAGTGACTCTGAGGCCACAATACTCCTAACAGTTGAGGCAGTGAAGCACTAACTGTGTAAATACTTCCACTGTGTGCTCAGGTAGGAAAGTCAACTCTCAAGGGTCTTTCAGCTTAGCATCTATATCATCCTACATTTGGGGTGGGGGCAGGAGTGAGGGTTCCTGTAGTGTAACCTCAAGTTGAAACCAGCTTCCAAGTGTATCATGAAGCTACCTGCGTCTGGTCCTATCAGGATACTGATTCTGGGCGCAACCACCTCGTGGTGAGTTGTTGCTAATGCGTGTTTTTGCTTGCCCGACAATTCTAGATTCAAGGAGAAATAATGCTTTGTTCCCCTTGCCCTTTGATTCCCCACTATCTGGGATGACTTCCTCTTTTCTTTCTCTTCTTTTCCTTCCTTCCTTCCTTCTTCCCTCCCTCCCTCCCTCCCTTTTTTCTTTCTTCTCTTCTTTCTTTTCTTTCTTTTCTTTCTTTTTCTTTCTTTCTTTCTTTCTTTCTTTCTTTCTTTCTTTCTTTCTTCTCTCTCTCTTTCTTTTTTAGATTTTATCTATTTATTTGTGTGTGTGTGTGTGAGAGAGAGAGAGAGAGAGAGAGAGAGAGAGAGAACAAGTGAGAGCATGAGCCAGGGACAGGAAGAGGGAGAAACAGGCACCCTGATGGGCAGAGAGCCTGCCCTGGGGCTCAATCTCAGGACTCTGAGATCATGACCTGAGTCCCCTGGGCACCCCCACTTCCTTTTCCTTAGCACTGTCTCTGAAGCCTCTCCTCAACTTTTGGTTTACTATTCTAGTTGCACCAACCCCATGTGGGGTTTTCATGACCTCTCTGGGGCACAGTAATGTCTCCCTCCAGGGAACCATCTACACCCTTGCTTTGTTTGGTACTTCACTGTGAGCCATCTAGTTTTATTCTTTTGTTTCTTGTACTTCAGATTATAAGTGCATGAAGAACAGAAATGCATCTTGTAATTCTTTTCCTCTATGAGGCAAAGCACATGAATGCGACATGCAATAAATTTGAGTGGAGCGGAGCAGAGCTGTAGTGCAAACCAAGGTACTGGCTAAAAGGTAGACGTGAGCCTTTCTTCTTTGAATAATCACAGTGTCACATTTAGCATCTGTTCTATTTCTAAAGTAAGAGTTTATCTCATTTCATAATCATCTGAATTAGATGAGCAAGTGAAAAATTGCTACTTACTCAGAATTCGTGCAAACCCAAAGTCACAGATCTTGATTATCCCTTGCTTAGTTATTAGAATATTTTCAGGTTTTACATCTCTGTGAATACACTGTAAGATAATATTTGATTATTTCTCAGCGTCATCAAAATGACAAAGCATAATAAACATTATTAGTTTAAATGATAAACACAGCTTATGAGATCAAAACAAATATGCTTTTCCTTCATTTTTCTAAAAGAACTTTAATTGGCAGGTTTTCACTTGTAAACCTTATCACACCAAAAGGAAGAAAAAATCAAAATGCTGCTATGGAGGTGAAGAAATAAAACTATAATTGTTAGATAAGAAAACTTTTTTTTTCTTTGAGAAGGCAATGCCACACAATTATTTCTTTTTTTTCTTTTTAAATATTTATTTATTTATCCAGAGGGGGGCAGGGGGGCAGAGACACAGGCAGAGGGAGAAGCAGGCTCCATGCAGGAAGCCTGACGCGGGACTCGATCCCAGGTCTCCAGGATCACACCCGGGGCTGCAGGCGGTGCTAAACTGCTGCGCCACCGGGGCTGCCCCACACAATTATTTCTTCCACATTTTACTGGGCTCTACTTAAACTGTAAGAGGTAAAACCCTAGATGAGATTAGACTCAATCTACCTCTGGTAAGAACTGCTGCCCAAAAATCACAATTCAGTTAAGTAAGTATTGCAGATTTGGGAAACTGGAAAACACATGTGAATGATAGAAAACATTTCTTAGGGGGATCCCTGGGTGGCTCAGTGGTTGAGTGTCTGCCTTCGGCTCAGGGCATGATCCTAGAGTCCTGGGATTGAGTCCCACATCAGGCTCCCTGCATGGAGCCTGCTTCTCCCTCTGCCTATGTCCCTATGTCTCTGTCTCTGTCTCTGTCTCTCTCTCCCCGTGTCTCTCATGAATAAATAAATAAAATCTTTAAAAAAAACGAAAACATTTCTTAAAAATTGGCTTACATAAAAAATTGGCTTATAATTAGAGTGACCATATTATTTATTGACCAAATTGGGATGTGTAAAAGGATCTCTGTTAGTAATCAATGCCAGGACAACAGGAACAAACCACAAGGGTCCTGGGTAAGTTGGGAGCTATGGTCACCTACTTCTCCGGCATCAGGGGATGAGGACCACTTCCACTCCCTCAGCAGGGAGCTAACCTGGAGGGATGAGCAGCTCTCCTGAGAAATGACCACACAGTGCTGTCTGACGGGCTCCCTCCTAGGAGAGCAGGACACCATGAGGCATTCTAACATCACAGAGGCTCCTGCTATTTCTCTCTAGGTAGAGACCTGACAGTTTGCTGTATCACTGAAATGACCCTGAGTGGAGCATGGGCTCCTCATTGGACATGCGAGGACCAGGCTGCGGTGAGGATGAAGGCTGAGTGAACCTCCCTCTTCCTTCTTCTAGAAATGGCTGCTCCATGTTCTCAAAGGCTCTCTGAGAACACAGCTCAGGCCCTATTCCTCAGAACTTTATCTTTCCAGTCCTTTCTCCCAAACAAGCAAACATAAAATTGATGTTGTTCTTCTACAGATCAGCCCTCATATTGAGCTCTGTCCTTTTCAAAGTACTTGCACACGAATCATTTCATTCCTTCCACAATCTTGTGAATGCAAGACCCCACTGACAGGGTCTCTGGAGGAAGTGTCACAGTAATTTGCTCCTTTTGCCTCACTCCTCTCCTATGCTACTCGTCCCTTTATAAATTCCTGCTACATTGACAATTCTGAAATAATTTTTCTTTGCTTCTATTGGAGCTATCTGGGAAGAGAAAAGGCTGAATCCAAAATCATTTGAGGTCACAAAAATGGCAGTGGTAGTAGAAGTTTGTTCCTAGTTAGTCTCAATTACTGTCAACTGTCTCACAATTTGTATGACCAAAAGAAGAAAACTCTAGCCCTCTTTAATGTCCTAAGGCCTTAGATATTAATTTTTTAAAGATACATTGCTCTAATATAAACCAACATAGTTTTGAGATCCTATCTTTTAAGCAACACACTTATGAAAATTAGATTAACACTGAGTTCTATTCACAATAGTTGGTGATCTACTAGGAATAGATTGTGTCCCTCAAAAGAGTTTGCATCAAATCCTACAATTTTTGGACTATGTGTGGCATTATCAAGCAGATGGACTTACATTGACCACTTGTTTTTTGGCCTATTTAAATATGATTTTTGGATCTAATGCAAATCCATGCGAAATTTTTAGTAATCTATTTTCCAACCAAAAAATACAAAGGCAAATGAAGTATTGATGTGTCCCAAAGAAACAGAAAAAAAAATATGGGTGTAAGTGCAGGTAAGAGAAGCTACAAAATAATGAGGAATAGGATACTGAAGAAAGAAAAAGAGTAAGAATCTCTGAAACAGTAAGAAGTCAAGCATGGAGAATGGAAGCCGCTGAGTGAGTCGCAGAATATTCACTTTCTCGGCTGCAAAGCCACACTCAGTGCTAACTCGGCAGTGCTTCTTGCAATCAGCTTACTTTCCACCAAAGAACAAGAAACCTGCAAGTCACTGTGACAGAAGCAGTTCTTTTTAATAACCTGGGTTGCATACACAGTTTTTAGAAAAAAACATTGCTCATGTTGGGTTATTGTGGTTAATATATAATCTCATTTTAACTGGCTCACAAGCCAACAAGAAAAGATATCCATGACTCTCAACTTTAAGAAACTCCAGAACTTTCACAAATTGCTTCTCATATAACCTGATCAAATCAATGTTTTACTTTTAAAGGAATCTTTACACTCAAAATGGCACTCAAACTCATGATCCCAAGATCAAGAGTTGCTGGCTCTACCAACTGAGCCAGCCAGGTGTTCCTAAATAATAGTCTTGTTATCTGAGGTCATCCTCTTTGAGCTTTACAGATGGATACTAATACAGCAGTGAGGAAAAGGACCTCCTTCTTGACAGCCAGAACATTAATATGAAGAAGATGATGATGGATGTTGCAGCCTAATACACACACATCTTTGAAGTCACTGTAGTTTTGGCATTTTAAGATAAAGTTCTTTTTGTCTAATATATCAAGTATATAAAAATCCATGAGTTCATAATGATACTAAATGGGTCACTTTAGTTAACTCATTCTAGCAATGTTATTGGGTGAGAAAGAACAAAATGAGTAGGTATTTTCTTAAGTCCAGTGCTTCTTAAAATTTAATGTGCACATGAATCTCCTAGAGATCTTATTAAAATGCAAATTCTGGTTCAATAGATCTAGGGTGGGCCTGAGATTCTGCATTTCTAATGAGCTCCCAGGTGGTCTCTGTTAACTACACTTTGAGTAACAAGGTCTTAATTCCTTACTACTTTAACCTTCCTTGTCTTAGTTCGGATCACCACTCTGGAGATAATAAGTAGTCACGGTCCCCATAGGTTGAAAGTTGTGAATTTTCAGCAACACCATTGGGTTAGATTGCCTTATCTGTTCTTTGAGAGTATCATGAGGGTTCCTTTAAAAATAAGGGGGGGGGGTAAAGGTTTTAGATGCAGTATTGTAACAGTTTATATATGACCTAAATTTTTTCCTTTGCATGCATTTTAGTAATAGATAAAATAAGAAGATACACAAAGGCTTACCATAGCATAAGAAAATGAGATAACCAGAGTTCAGAAGTAATTCCCATGTTGGAGGAGGGAAGTGTGTCTGAAAAATTATCCTTTTTTTTAAAAAAAGATTTATTTATTTATTCATGAGAGAGAGAGGCAGAGACACAGGCAGAGGGAGATACAGGCTCCATGCAGAGAGCCCGACGAAATTATCCATTTGTAATAGAGGTCATGAATTATCAATTGGAGGTTTTAAAACTTAAGATACAGAACATGTTCTGAGCAGAGAAATGATGAGTTGCACTGAGCTATAATAATGTTTGGTTCTGCTGGAAATTATAAATTACAATTAGGTAGGTAAGCTGATTGATTCATTCATTCATTCATCTAGTTATTCAACAAATATTTATTGAGTGAGCACCTTTTATATAAGAAGACCATGCTAGATGTTGAAGAGATACAAAGGTAAATCAGCCTCGATATTGCATTCAAGTTTATAAACTAGTACACAGGAAAGTGTCTGATAATAGAGATAAAGGACAAACACTATGGTAAACACGATTTTCTTTTTTTTTTTTTAAATTTTTATTTATTTATGATAGTCGCACAGAGAGAGAGAGAGAGAGAGGCAGAGACACAGGCAGAGGGAGAAGCAGGCTCCATGCACCGGGAGCCCGACGTGGGATTCGATCCCGGGTCTCCAGGATCGCGCCCTGGGCCAAAGGCAGGCGCCCAACCGCTGCGCCACCCAGGGATCCCGGTAAACACGATTTTCAAAAATAATTTTAACTACCCATAACACTCCTATAAGAACCTTCGGTAAACTTTAATACTTCTGATAGCATGATGGAAAGCAACAGAGATGCGGTTTTAATTCAGCATCATCTTTAGTAAGTATTTGAAAGCATTTGCATCATGAAAACCAGACTTATGTATCTTGTGAACAGTATTTCTCTATATTTTTTATTTTTATTTTTTTTAAGTAGGCTCCATGCCCAGCATGGAGCCCAATTTGGGGCTTGACCTCACAACCCTGAGATCAAGACCTGAGGTGATATGAAGAGTCAGGCGCTGAGGATCCCTGGGTAGCTCAGTGGTTTAGCCCCTGCCTTCGGCCCAGGGCGTGATCCTGGAGTCCTGGGACTGAGTCCCACATTGGGCTCCCTGCATGGAGCCTGCTTCTCCCTCTGCCTTGTTCTCTGCCTCTCTCTCTCTCTCTCTCTCTCTGTCTCTCATGAATAAATAAATAAAATCTTAAAAAAAAAAAAGTCAGGTGCTGAACTGAATGAGTTCCCCAGGTATCTTAACAAAATACTTTATTTAAAATATAAGCTTTTGATTGATCCTAACAAACTCTTCATTGACTTTCTTAAAACTAAAGGAAGCTTCCCCTAAGTATTGAAATTTATTTCCATGATTTTTCATTCTTTTCCAGCAATCCTAGACTATGTTAGACATTCCACTGACATCAACATTGACCATATGGTAGTCTGTATCTTGCTCAGGCACTGCCTCTGTCTAGGTACCAACTCAAAAGGTCTAGAGTTATTGTTTAAAAACTATCATTATATTAAAAGTCTCTCAAAGACAACTTAAAGAAGTTCCCACTGGTCCAAGATGGGACAATTTGAATGTTAGAATGACAATTGCAAAGGATTGAAACACATCAATGATATAAGATCCATAAGTTTGTAATGATGTCTATATTCCCCTAAAATCTTCATTGTTCACTCTTGGAGGTTGCAAAGATACCAACTTATCACTGTTTGTGTTAGCAAATAAAGGAATAATCACATCTTTATCTTATTGTATTTTACTGTAGCCAGAGTCCTTGAGGGTTGGTTCTTCTCCATAAAATTCGAATTAATAAATGCAGAAGAAATAATAGATTTTGAAAATCACCATCTTTTAACCCTAATGAAATACTAGATATAGGCAATAAACAACAATGGATGCTAAAGCCATCAAGTAAAAAGGCTGACCAGGAAATTAATAATGGAGAGGATCAAACTAATAGCTTTTAATCTATTTTAAGATTTAGTCCACTAATCTATTTTAAGATTATCAAAAGTGGAACAGCTGACATATGCCTTGTGATGTTAACACAAGACATGTACATGTACAGCATTACATATGAAATATTCTTGTTTGAAAAACTGAAATTATCAAGTGTCTAGACACAATACCAATTTACTAGAAATACAGGGAAAGAACAAGTTAAATGACACAGGAAGCAATCAGCCGCAAGGATCTCTGGAACACAGTAGTATTCCAAGTGTATTTCTTGGACCTGCAGCTTCAGTATTAACTGGGCAAAGGTTAGAAATGCAAATTCTCGGGGCCCTACCCCGGACCTCTGGAATCAGAAACTCTGAAGGGGCGGGGGCAGCAAACTCTATCTTAATGAGACCTCCATGGCAGTTGATGCATGCTCAGGTTTGAGAACTATGGATCTAGAAAACTAACAATAAAAATTAAAAAAAAAAAAAGGGATAGAGGAAGGGGGCCTGTTAGAGAACAAAGGACTCAGAAAACATAAAAACAAAATCAAATCAAGTGCCATGGGGAGTTACACCACTGCTATCCTGCAAACTTATTTAACCAAACTTATTTAACCCATTAACAATGATCACAGGAATCTCCAATAGGATGGCAAAAGGAACATTAAGTTTACACAAGCTATTAATTCATAAGGATTTACTAATTTGGTTCTCATGGAAATTGGGGAGAAAAAAAGCCACAGATTGCATTCCCCATATTCTATGACTGTCTTCCTTTCCCTCCATCCTTAGCTCTTTAAAGCGATCCCTGAGCTATTTAGAAGAAAAGAAGAAATTAACAAATATATTGGAAAATGTTACTTACGTTATGTTTATGACAGAAATTAAGAGCTTGAAGTGTTTGCCATAATACACTTTTGATCACTCCATCAGCAACTCTAGGGGAAAGAAAATGAAAATGGAAATGAAAACTCCTAAGATAGAGTCAGGCGTGGGTGCTGGGAACAGAAATGGAGTGGGTAGGGCTTGCCATGGCCAACAAACACGGTGCAAAGGGTGTGCTGGAGATATTTTATTTGAATGTGTTAATGAAAATTGCTTTACTGTGTTTTCATTATAGATAATTTTCTCTTGCAATTTGAAAATTTTAGATCTGTAGAAATGATATATGCTTATCACAAAAATCAAACTCAAACTGTATCGAAACATGAAGGAATAGAAAGTATTGACTCAAAACTTGCTACCCCAAACTAATTGCTGAAATGTACAGTGGCTGTCTCTTCAGGTACCTGTATCTCTCCCTCTGTCTCTCTGTATTTTTAACTTTAATTATCTGAAAGAGAGAGAGAGAATAAGAGTGAGTGAGTGTGGGGGGAAGGAATAAAGGGAGAGAAAAAATCTTAAGCATGCTCCATGCCCAGCACAGAGCCCAACGTGGGGCTTGATCTCACGACCCTGAGATCATGACCTGAGCCAAAATCAAGAGTCAGACACTTAACCAACTGAGCCCCACAGGTGCTCCTTTAATTTTAAATAAATGCATTCATATGGCTCAAAATTTAAAGAGTATAAAAGTATATCCACGAAGAAAAGTCTTCCATAACTGGGTAGTCCAACATTTCAATCTCTGCAACCTCCCCCACCTCTTTCAGAAACCTTTTATGCATAGGGGTATAAACACTAATGCGTCTACATCTATTTCATGGTCTCATTATATGGATGTGTCATAATTTACTTACTTAGTTCCCACTGGTGAGCAATTAGGTTGACTCAGTTTTATTCCTAGAAACATTTCAATGAATATCCATAATCATTCATCTTATTACAGTTGTGCAATTATCTTTTTAGGGTGAGTTCCAGAAATGGGATTTCCAGAACCAATGGAGGGCACATTTTACATTTTGATCCTGCAGGTATGACCTTCAGGTAATCTGAAACCTGGTTTTGCAGGAAGGAAGGCATACCTGAAGACTGGCTTCCAGCAGTTTGGTGGTAAACACATTCAAGTAGGTGCTGTAGTTGTGTAACAGTTTCTCATACCTGGTAAGCAGGCAGGTACGCAGCCGGGGCCAGCCAGGGAACACACACGTCCCCTGAGAAGGGGAGGTTGGGTGCTTCTTGTCCCTGCAGAATCCTGGAAGTACTGGAAGGTATTTTTCCCTGCAGAACTGGGGATCTGGGCAACTTACATTCTGCCTGGGAGTAGTCTACTTTGTCTAACCATCTCTATAAATTATAGCAATTACATTCCCTTTAACTTTCTGTTATTATCTTTCCATTCATCACTGTCCCATGATGTGCCTTCAGTTACAGACTGCCAAGCTACCTTGTCTAAAAAAGGTTATGCCCATTTACACGCCCACCAAACATCTGTGCATTAAAGCCCCTGTTTCCTCATTGTCTTGCCAACATCCGGTTTTGCCGATGTCATGTTTGCCAAACTGTGGTTAAAATAAAAAGATAGCTCATTTTGGTTTTCTTTTGCATTTCACTATTGGTGACTTTTGTTTTCACATGTTTATTGGACATTACATTTCTTCTTTTGTGTACTTCCTGCTCATGGCCTTTGTGTCTTTTTTGGCTATTTGTTTACTTGTTTAAAAACTGATTCATGAAGACTTGATATATACTGGATTCTGCATATGTGCTGCAATATCCACGTGTTGTTTGTTTTTCAACCCTGTTCATGGGGATGAGGCTGCTGTTTACAGGTTTGAAAATCTGAAACACAAGATGTCTTTTGAAGATTTTTTTTTTAAAGATTTTATTTATTTATTCCTGAGAGACACAAGAGAGAAGCAGAGACATAGACAGAGGAAGAAGCAGGCTCTTCACAGGGAGCCCGATGTGGGACTCAATTCCTGGACCAGGATCACGCCCTGAGCCAAAGGCAGACGCTCAACTGCTGAGCCACCCAGGTGTCCCTAAAGAACTTTTTAGTTAAAAAAATTTAAATTATCTAATATTAGATGTGTTTGGAATATCTAATATTCCAAATACCCCCATCACTTGGCCTTAATATTTTATCACATTTGGAAATTTAAATCATATGTTTAGATCAGTTTTTAAAAACTAAACTCATCCTGTAGGTGTAGCTGGTCTTACAGAGGAGTGGGATGGCCTATGTATGACATAGGCATGGCATTAGCTAGAAGACCTCACCAGGAGGAGCTGCAGTACATGCTGAGAAACAGCAACAAGTACATGGAGGTATTTTTCGCAGGGCAGTTTTCTGATTTCAGGTCACAATTATGGCGGCACATTCTTGATATCCATGGTCTGGTGGCAGCCCTTTGACTCCAGTTCTTCTGATGATTAAATATTACTAATTTTGAAAGCCCTAGTTCTCAGTATTAAATCCCTTTCCACTGCAAGTATATAGGGCCATTTCTATTTCCTGTCTCTTATAAAAACAATCAAGCAATGTCGTCTCCAGCTTGGTTCTAGGCAAAGAGGGGAGAAAGATCAGGTTATGTCAAAATTCAGAGACAAAAAGAATAGTACAGCCATTTTGAACACTATGAGGCAAGGTTCAAATCCCAGCTGTGCTGTTTCCAAGTTTTATAACTCTGGGCAAGTTACTTGTGCCTGCAGTTTTCCTCATGTGTAAAAATGGAACAATGCCCCATGAGTTTATTGAGAAGACTATTCCTGGGCATCCGGGTGGCTTAGTCGGTTACATATCTGCCTTCGGTTCAGGTCATGATCCCAGACTCCTGGGATCAAACCCCAGGGGGTCTCTGCTTCTCCCTTTCCCTGCTGCTCTCCCTGCTTGTGCTCTCCCTGTCTAATAAATAAAATCTGAAGAGGAAGAGGAGGAGGAAGAGGAAGGAGAAGACGATGATGATGACTATCCCCTAAGAGTCTGGGTTTTTATCTCTCCATAGGTTTAGGAAATGAGGGTCTGGGATCAGGGGAGACCAGTAGATAGGACTGAGACCCTGTACAAAGACAAGAAGAACTCCAAGAGAATAGCAGTAAGAAAGAACAGGGAGTGTAGGAGAAACAGTTAGGAAGCCAGTGTGGTCAAAGTATGAGTGAAGAAGTTGGTGAGGTTGGCAGGAGCCAAAGCACAGCAGGCCTTACAGATCTGGGTAAGTAGTTTGAATTTTATTCTAAGTCTAAGGGAAAGCCATTGAAAGGACTCAAGGTGGCAAGTGGCATAACATGGAGAATGGATTTCTGGGGTCAGAGTGGATACAGGAAGGTTGATTAGGTGGCAAATTTAATGATGCAGGTGAGATCTGGTGATTTTGATTAGAGTGGTGGTGGTAGAGGGAAGGGAAATGGATTTCAGTCCTTGTGAGGGACTGTTAAGAGAAACACGCAGCCCAATTCATGTAGAAATATAATGCTGGGCGGGATGTAAGGACTGCAGGTCCGGGGGATCAAGTCCTGGAATTTGGAGATTGGGCAAGGGTTCAAAGACTGGTAGAACCAAGGTTTCTAGTGTTAACAACATGGAATCCAGCATGAATGAATGCCATACGAAAGTCCTGGGTTCTTGCTATGGAAGAAGAATGTTTGTTTTGTGGCATCTCATGGGAAGTGTCATGGCTCTGCTCTACACAGAACAGCTCAGATTTCGAGAAAGCAGGTTCCATCATAGGCAACACAACATATATTCAAAATACCAGCTACAAACAAATACCATTGATCTTACAAAGAGAAGATAGTTATCAAAGAGAAGACAGATTCACACAGTGCTCATTCCAGAAAGATACAGGATTGCAACATTATTCAGCCAAAGGCAGCATGTTTCAGTGTTTTGAAGTGAAATCAAACCTTCAGAAGTCAACTGACACTCAGTGTTCAGGTATTATACCCTGGGTAAGTGCAGAAACAAATACTGCAAGGAATAGTGAAGGCCTGAGAGCAAAAACCAGACATCCTTACTCAAGATTGAAGGGTGTCATGATTGGGAAATTCAGACTGGATTGCTCAGGGACTGCTCTCTTGGGTCACTGAGACGAATCCGAATGCTGACATCAGGGCTTATCATCTTTGCTTTAATTTGTTAAACAACTTCACATAGGAAAACCTGATTTCATTGTCACTACCCGAGTAACACTGCCACTTCAGTAACCTCCTCCCCATTGATCTCCTCCCATAGGCCCACAGATACTCCACTTTGGCCCCATTGGTTTCTGTGGTTCCCTGAACATGCCAGGCTTGTTCACACCTCCAGATCCTTGTGTTTATTGTTCGTTCTCCTCCCCTCCCTAAGCATTCTCTAACCACTCCCTGTGTTTTCTTTCAATTCAAGGACTTTGTCTTATTCACTGTTGTAGCCCTGGGGGTACCTAGAATGGTACCTGGTATCTAATAGGTATTTCACTGACCTTGTTTTACAGGCACTCTGGAAATTTTATAAACCAGCACCCTATAATAAATCCTTTTCATTTAAACTAGCTGGCGTGAATTCTGTTGTTGAATCCTGACTGGTTCAGAAGATGATACCAGAAGCGTTTGTGGGCAGGACACCAAGGCCTTGGGAATTGGGGACTGGCTATCTGATTTAATTGGGTCTAAAGGTGGGGGAACCTGAGTACCACTGGCAACTGGACTAGGTAGTAGATGGGCACTTAGAGATAAAACAATTGTTAAATCATCATCTGTGGTCATTTGGAATAAAATGCCCATTCAAGGCAAGCCTTTGGCGGACTGAATGTGACGGAACAACATGGGAAACATAAATAATAAAAGAAAAGAGGAGCAGGTTGGCTTTTTCTAACTTCATGAGAAATTTTTAAGAAGGATAGGGTTAGGGCTTTAATATCTTTGTTCAAGACCCACTTAGGAAGCCAGGAGTTTCAATGCTTGCCCTAAAAGATCCCTTTATTAATTGCGTGTGTAGAACTCACTTCATGGACCTTTAGGGATAACATGAAATGACTGAAAAATCAAACCAAGGAAAATAATCTTGCAGGGTGTTAAG